CTCTCTCTCTCTCTCTCTCTCTCTCTCTCTCTCTCTCTCTCTCTCTCTCTCTCTCTCTCTCTCTCTCTCTCCCCTTTTTCTTTGTTTTATAGCACAATTATTTTTTATTTTTCTGGTAATAAAAATTTTGAGTTAAAATTTTGTGATGGATGAAATTTGCCATTAATACATGTTAATTTTGTCGCATCTGTGATCACGTTAGTAGAGCTTATGCAAACATGTAAGAATTCGAAAGATTATTCCTGTACATGACTTAAGAGCATTCATTCTGTGCTACTTGTACTTTTCTAATTTGTCCAAAGTTACACAAGAGTTAACGGCGGGAGCTCCATTGGTCCAGGCACCAAAACTTCGGTCCACGCTGTGTTGGATTACGACGACGATTTTGATGATTATTACGACGACGACGATCAGGATGTGCCGACCAACGCACACGTCACACCTATACAAGGGCCAATTTTCCTAAAGAATGGTTCTGTTCCTGTTGTGCCATTGTACTCGTATCCTCAGCTAAACAACGGCACATTCGTACAAATACCGGTGAGTTTGACATTTTGCCCTCGATTTTTCTCTCGTTTACTCTTTAATACATTCCGTGCCGAGCCAATTTGTCGAATAACATGTGATAATTATCTCATAATGATAATTGTCTCGTAATAATTATCAGAGTATTTCATGATTAAGAGTTTCGTTTCAGACCTAAAGTATCAAGCGGCCCGAATTGGCCACGAGTGACTCACATTATCATATCATGAACCACATTTTATTTCAACCCAAATAATATGTGTCTCGCGATAATTGTCGAAGAATTATCTTATGTTTGGTTTTAGAGCCAAATTACCAAACGGAAAGTTCAGCGCGGGCCATGCGCGGCACGGAACGCGTTAAATACGATACAACATAGCGATAAAAATACGCAAAAAATGGATAATGCGCGGAGGTGTGTCAAAGCCAAGTATCCGAGTGAGAAAGGCTCCTCTCGAATCTCGGTTGGCGCGCGAATTGGAGGATAATACCAGAGATAATCGGCAAATGCGACCGTGGCTACAGGAACTTTCAAAGTCTATAGCAACGCGTGACATTTCCCCGCGCAGCACCCGTGACCCCGAGAATATCTTCGCCGGAGAATCTACCACCGCGAATGTATCATCAGGTAGTTGCAAGCGCCGGTTACACCTGTTCCAACATCACGCGCGATCGTCCCTTTTACTTCTCGCATTATTTCCATCTTAGTGCAACGCGTCTTCGTTACCGTACCTCGCTCTTTCAGTACAGAGCACAAAGCGCAAGATCGAGGTAGCGCGATAAAAACTGACGACATTGCGTGGCTCTTTGAGGTCAATCGTCATAACGACATTGAGATAACGAATTTACGCAACTGCCCAATAATATAATGCATTACCTGCACGGTGAGAGAACTTATGATCAAAATTATTGTAGAATTCTGTAACCGAGGAATAGGTCGACATCCTGCATTCATCCTGCATCCAATTCATTCTATCCTTTCATTTTACATGCGCTACTTTTAGGAGCTGAAATGTGTTGTACTGAAGCACTATAATTCCAGCGAAATTTGTCGTGTTTCTTAACAAGATAGACCTTACTGACAGTTTATTCCTGGACTGACAACACAATGACAGAACAACATAGTGGAATTAAAAAAAAATTTATATGAAAAATAAAATTATGAAATTTTCTCCATGTAGAACAGCAATGACAACTTTTCAATTAAAACAGAGATGCGTTTAATTGAATCGTACTGAATACGAACTTTGTAAAAGGTGTAAAGCGAAACATTTCTCTGCCAGAGGTATCTGACCTTTTGTCGCATAACTTAACAAACGACGAGAACTCAGTCTTTTCAATCCCTGTAGGGCATTTTCCAATCTCTGTAGAACATTATTGCTGATTCTTGACACTGCTGATAATTCTTCTCACGGATTGTAAGTCTTACCGTAAAAAATTGTTTTTTGCAGAAGTAAAAAGAGGCGTTAAGTATACGCCTTATTATTAATTCTGTATTCCCTACAAAAGGAATCACTTCATGAGTGGTATTCTGCACGCGTATTGGACGCTAAATATTCATTTTTGAGTCTTGAATTAAAATAACGTTATATATGTGTAATTTAAAATGGAACTTGGATTTAAAAGGGCATACTTAATTTACTGTAACCATTATTGCAATTATTATGATAAATATCACTATTATTATTATTATTCCATCATTTCGATAGCTATCATCATTATAATAACCAATATCGTCATTATCATCATTATCGTATCACTTCTATTATTATTATCAACCTAATGACGAATATTGTTATTATTACGATAAATATCATTATTATCATTATAAATATCACTTCAGTAATTATTATTATTATCATAATTGTGATGACCAATATTGTCACTGTCATAATTACCACAATGAGTAATCATCATTTCAATGATTATCATCATTATAAATATACGTATACTTCACTATGCGTCTAGAAAAAGACCCCAGGAAATGACACTATGTGAGAATAATTCCTGCAAAAGCGAATGTTCTGTGAAAATTTGACGACAGTCCCTTCTACTGAAAAGATTATGTGGTAAAAGCAACGTTTTGTATAAAAATATTAAAAGCACTTTCGGAAAAGAACGAAATTAAAATCGAGAGCTAAAAACTTAACATTTAGCGTATCAGTTAAAACAGTTTTTCTTCTCGCGGAAAACAGGCTTCAGCATTTCAACAGGTTTGAGATTAACAACTCTTTTAGAAAGGAACACTATAATACGCAAGAGTAATAAAAAGATAGAAAAAATCATCAGGATCGTCAGGAGTGTTTTGCACACTTACAAAGAAACCTATCCAAAAGGTACACTCCGATTTCTTTCTAATTTAGCACAAATGTAAAAGTACAAAAAATATTTAGGTGATATATTTTCATTTTGGCCCACTTTAAGTTTCACGGGCAATTTATAATACGAGCTTTTTAATGTTCTCACTCCTATCATCAATAAGTGCAACAAATGCATAAGAAATAAAGTTGAATACAAGATATAGGCGTGTTTGGTTTGCTGATCATGAATATGAAGTCAAATGTGTAAAATTATTTGTATAAATAATAAAATGTTTAAACAAAATATGTAAAACATGTAAAAAGTCTAAGTGAGAACATTAAAAAGCTATAAACTACCCGTGAAACTCAAAGTGGGCCAAAGTGAAAAAATAATGACCTAAATATTTGTTGTACTTCTACATTTGTACCAAATTAGAAAGAAATCGGAGTATAACTTTTGAGTAGGTTTACTTGTTAATCACATGGTCGCATGTGCTGTGAATGACAGTCTCTTTTAAAGAGATTTGTTGCGTCAAGTAGCAGATTCACCAGAGGAGATCTTTATTTATATAAGTCTAGGAAAGAGAGAGAAAGTACACATGTAACCATTGAAGATAGATTTTCACGTCACTTCAATCATCTCTTTACATCTTATTTCGCTTCTTGTGACACACGACCACGCGCCACACGTGTTCAGCAATTTGACGATGCTTACGTATCCATTTGTTGTAGACAAAAATGCTTCACTTCTTAAAAAAGAAAAGAAACGTCATTTTATTATCTTTCCTCCTTTCTCTATTATGATATTTGAAGCGTGTCATCTTTTCTTGTGATTCGCCATGGCTCGCCCCCGGCTGCCTCTATTTGTCGCAGAACACCTGGAAATAACGGTGATGCTATTCGCTGAATGTCTTCTATGTACAAATGTACTTCACGTTCGTCTCGATTCGCGCGCTTAGACTATACGGCATGATTCATTTCTTGTGGGCAATGTGCGACTACCATTAGGATTCTCCCATATTACACTCCATTGAATGACGCCCACTGAGAATGCTAACTGGAAACTGAACGGAAATAGGAGCGTGGGCAGGCGGTCTTTAATTGAACAATGTCGACTTCCGCTCCGCGGATGAATTATTCCATAATGTCGTTGCTCACTTTGTCGCTTGTATTCACTCAATATACCCGGGCCTAAATGTGCAGTTCACGATGTTACGAAAATGGAATTGACCGCGTGAATTGAACCGGTCATGATCGGCCGAACAGAACGCGGACAGTCGACTGTGCGACGTATACGCCCAGACAGCACAAATGTTTAAAAAGCGTCTCGGAGGAATCTGCAAGACATCCTACTTGTCTTAGACGTCTTTTAGATAGACGTATTTTAGACACGTGTGCTATTTGCGCGTAGGTAGAGAAGTACGTTCCGTGTAATACTTTTGAAGCGAAATAACACGTTGTCGCGATTCTACGACTTATAAAAATGTGCAGGCTGAATCATACAGCCCGTTACAACTCAATATGTCAATAACCCAGGGACCCGGCAAACATGGTGACGTATTAATGACACGCGTTATTGACACATTAATGACGTCAGAGAACCTTAATGGAGTATTCAAGGAGACCTTACGATATGAGACATTAACACTGCTTAACTCATTAATACCCAAATATGCTGAAATTTTACGTTGAATTGAGCTATTTATTTTACTACGGAAATGAGATCTGTTGTTAATAAAGAGTACCCTTCCTACCAATTTCGATATCACTCTATCGAATAACGTTGAGAAAATTGAAAAAAATCGCAATTTATACAAAATTTTTGCAAAATAAAATAAAAAAACGTATGTTTTTGAGGTTAATTTTTTCTTCTTCCGCTATTTTCTCCATAAAAATGTGTTAATATCGCTCGGGAAAGTGTCTAAAACGTGTTCCCGACACTTTAACTTAAAATGTCATCGGTCATTTATATTATATATCATTTTTTTCAACAAACATGGCGGCACCAAAATGGTGGTCGATTTGAATGACGTTTAATTTGAATTTTTGTTATATTTGGCTATCGCAATTGTTTTACTATGTAATTACTATGTAAATTACTATATAATTTTGTAATATTGACCCTAAAACAATTTCGATAACTAAATATAAAAGAAAATTTGAATTAAATGCTTAAATCGACCGCCATTTTGGTACTGCTATGTTTGTTGAAAAAAATACCTATGACATATCTTTTAAGTTAAAGTGTCAGGAACATGTTTTAGACACTTTCTCGAGCGATACTAACACGTTTTTATAGAGAAAATAACGAAAGAAGAAAAATTAGCCCTAAAAACATGCGCTTTTTTACTGTATTTTGCAAAAATTTTGCATAAATTGCGATTTTTTTAATTTTCTCAACGCTATTCGATAAAGCAACATCGAAATTGGTAGGAAAGATACTTTTTATAAACAATAGATCTCATTTCCGTAGTAAAATAAATGGTTCAAATCAACGTAAAATTTCAGCACATTTGGACATTAATGGGTTAACACAGATTATGTATCACAAACGAGACGCATTATCAAGATGACATTAAGCTGATTAAACTAATCGACGATTAGCTCATGGTTGCCAAAATGGAAGATAGATATATAATTTTACATAATTATATGTATATTATTCTTTTTATATTCGGAAGTTCACAGGATTTTAAGCTCTACAGCGAGATACCAGCCTTATCACATCTCACTCTCTTGTTTAGGATCTTATTAAAGAAGATCAAATCGGACGCGTTAGATTAGGCAGGCTTTAGAAATTCTAGAACAAGATCTCAACTTTGTCCTATTCGTTATTTTTAGTGACGATGCCACATTCCACAGTACCGGCGCTCTCAATCGTCACAATAGTCGTTATTGGTCTTCGGAAAATCCTTATTGATACAGGCAAGTTGACAACCAACATCGTTAATGTCCGATAGGCATTGTAAGAGGACAAATTATAGAGTCTTGTTTCTTTCAAGGGAACGCAAATGTTATTTGGTCATTCAGATTTTCTGTAAAATTGCTCTCCGCCGAAAATGCTCCACTTGACCTTCGCGCTAGTTTCAACGGGATAGTTCGCCACTTCATTTTCGATGAAACTTTAGAAAGTCTTTTAATCGAATACTTATAAAAGCCGCTGGTTCGCAGTAGACCGATTAGTTAGCTAGCTAGATCTTAACCTATTAGATTTTAATATAATCTGTTAGACCAATTAATTAGTTAGCTAATTCTTAATCCATTTGACTTCTACCTGTGGAGGGGTCTGAAAAATAGTGTCTGTCGCAAATTAAAAGTGCACAAATTACGATGAATTACACAATGAATTTTCTTAGAAGCTTAAACATAGGTTGATAGGCTGCTTCGAGAACGAAGATCGAATTGAGCGTATTAAAAATCGGAAAATGAAAGATATACAAAAAGTGCTCTCTGATGCCCCTGAATAAAAATAATGATGGTCGTTTTACCGTGAGCTCTTGGGAACATTTTGCAATAGATCCTTGAACGTGGCTTTCGTGCATGGCATTTTCATATTTTTTAATTGCGCACATTGCAGTATCGAAGCGAGTAAACACAGGTATATACAGTAGTTATATTGTCGTCGCGCAACAAGATGTAACGTGCAATTTAACACTGTAACAAGTTACATACACGTCAATAATAATTTCCTACTTGTATGAATGACAGTTGCATAACGATTATTCAATTTTCGATGACCTCACCTGAATACTGTTGTATGTAGAATAACGAGAGGAATCTATTGTGACAATACTAATTTTTACATACTGCTGCATCAATGCAGCATTGCTGCATTTGAAACATGCAATGGAATTTGTTTATACATATTCTCTTCACAACAATTGAGCCATTATTTTACATACAAAAGCCTTCACGCATATATCAAGACGTCGAACAATAACTGCTTTACGAGATATTTTACACTTCATACTAAAAAGTTGTCAGGAAATGTACAATATCTAAGAAAATATTCGTCTCTCGGTGATCTTATTTTTATACACGGAATGATCTTAATAACAGTGACCTTAATGTGAGCAGCTGAAAGTCAAGTTTTTTTTTTATCAAAATACGTCCTCTCCTAAAAGCCATACTACAACCTTAAAAAGGCGGAATCTCGATGTTTCATTTGATTTAAAAAATATTCAAATATGTTGGGATTAAAATGGAACAGCTTATAAATAAATTCACACAGAGTCTTCTTTCTACTTACTCATCAGGTATATTGCAGACAAAAATATAGTTTGGAGTTTTCGTCTCGTGGAGTCCGTTGCGCGTTCAAAAGTGTTTCAAAAGTTATCGTACCTTGTCGAAATATTATTGTCAATGAGTAGAATCAAATGAACAAATGTTCGTCGATATTATTCACAAATCACAAATAGATTTAAGTATCATTACACAAGAAAGTGAAATATGCCTGAAGGTAAACAGCTAAAAGTGCCGGCGGTAAGTTTTCCGCACAAAATATGCAGTCGTTAAAGTTGTTGAAATAGAACAGAAACACTGTTCAAAAATATTTTTTATATTCAAATATATCAGAACATGCTTTTTATGAAAGTATCTTTCATTTTATTTTGTCATATAGGTAAGAAATATTTTGTCATATAGGTAAGAATTTATATTTTTTAAAGCTGTTGAATTTATATCCTGTAATTTTGAAACGGATTCTCAAACGAATTAAGGAGACTGGAGGGTCAGATTACCTAAAAATCGTGCTTGTTCTTTCATAATTTTTTGACAAACTGAATGAATGTGCGAAAGTATTATTTTGACGTGTATTTATACAACATATAAAGAGAAGAAAAACATAATTTTGATGATCAAATACTCAATATAAGTGTATGGTACATGCAGTTAAAATATATTTTGTTTTTCTTTTCAAGTTCGTCATTTTCGAGAGTCATGATTAATATCTTGACTCTCGGTGGTTCAATTAAGCTGAATTTTAGGTAAAAAATTTCGTAAACTTATCGTTATTGTGTGAACCACTATAATAGAAATTGAGTGATAAAAAAGTTAACAAAATTGCAAATATCTTAATGGAATATTATTAAATTTTCTGTTTTTTTATAGTAAAAAAATTAATATTTCAAAATTAAATATTTTCACGAGTTTGTCAGTTCACACGATAACGACAAGCTTACGGAAATTTTCTATCTAAAATTCAGCTTAATTGAACCGCCGAGAGTCAAGATATTACTGCAAAATGACGATCTTGAAAAGAAAAACGAAATATATTTTAACTGCATGTACGATACACTTATATTGAGTATTTGATCATCAAAATTATATTTTTCTTCTCTTTATATATTGTATAAATACATGTCAAAATAACAATTTCGCATATCCATTCAGTTTGTCATAAAAAATTGTGAAAGAGCAAGCACGATTTTCAGGCAATCTGACCCTCCAATCCTCTTAAGAGTTTGTATGTTTGTGCGTTTCGTTATTAAACATTAATTCGATGAACACATTGATCCGTAGATACTTTGGACCGCGCTTTCGGTGGCATTAGGTGTCGAGCTGAGGGGAGATTTGGTGCGAGGTGCACCGTGTATCAAAAGATATCACCAGTTATTTTGCCCTACCGCGGGGAACACATACCCGATGTAAGTAATCATCTTCTTCGTTACTCCTTAACACAATCAGGTAACTATGACGAACTGGAGAGCCGCTTATACCTATTTGATCATGAAAAAATTAATCGCATGAAGTCGCGCGCACGCGCCGAAAGAAAAGCGAAGCTAACGTAACGCAATTGGCTAATGTAAATTAGAATTTAATCGATTGTTGTAGAGAACGAATAGAGCGTTTTATCGATGAAAATAAGGCGTTGATGAAAAGGATGTATGGTGACTTTGAGATGAATCCAGGATACGGATCGAGCGCGAGCGAACCCGGACATCGCACTCGAACACGAAGAAAAAGTAGAGAAGCGCGGAAACACGATAGTCCGGACGGCGGACCTAGAGAACGAAACGACGAGATACAGGTAGAAGGCGAGATCGACGAGGAATATTTCGGCAAGAATAGAAACCCGAGACAGTCTTTCGGGAAGAATCGCAGCTCGGAGAGCGGCAGGTGAGAATTGGCAGAAGGAAGTAATCCGACGGTTCAAGTAGAATGAAATCATAGCGTTTGGTCTACGGAACGATTGGGAGTAACTGATACCCGCGATAGTTAAAATAATAGTGTTGCAGTCAGACAATTGTTTACTTGACGAGATGATTGGAAGTGATCGTGAGAAACGTGTGATGCGATAACTGTATGACGACGATTTTTCAGGATTGACGCGTGCGAGTCTAAAGTCGAAATCGTCACTCCCTATTGGGCGAGCAACAGCGCCGGAAAGATTCGCGCCATTGTGAATACTCAGCATTTCGAGCAGGCCATACATCAGGAAGTGTGCTCGTGAGTAAAACTATTGTATATATGAAAAAAATATCGTAGAGTAAAAATTATATGTTAAAGATATTTTTTATTTTACGATGTTTTTTGTAAAGCTGGATTGTACTGAAAGAAATTGTAGTGTAAGTTACGATAGAAATATAAATTATTATAAAAATAAATTTGAAGATCTATACTTGCTATAACAAAAACATTCGTATGAATAAGTTTGCAATGAAAAGTTTGCATTTTGAAACAAATACAATTTGGTAATTTCGGTCAGAATTCTGTATCAAGATTACAAAACTTTTGTTGTAATTTTTACTGCAATATGTTCTGCATGCGCGGGATTAACGAGTGACGTACACAATGGCTGCGTTCAGCAGAGAAAGCTGCTTTGCAGCTGTTGCAAAATTCGTGAATCTGATTGGAGTATGCTCTTAATTTTGGTTGAATCCAAGAACATGTACCAATCAGATTCACGAATTTTGCAACAGTTGCAAAGTAGCTTTCTCTGCTGAACGCAGCCATTGATTTCCTTTTAAGCTTTCTCAACGATTACCTCCCGTGAGATGAAGTAATTTTAACAGATATTTTATCGCAGATATCTTCACTAGACGAATTTGCAAAACGAACATGCTTATGTTTCGCAGGAAAACACAGACGAACCGTTGTGGCGGGGACTGTGGATGCGAGCAGAAGTACAAGTGGCATAGATTGCTCGCGTACGATCCCGATAACGATTGCAAGGGTATATTCATGGATTGGTTCTTGTTTCCTTCCTGTTGCGTTTGCAGATGCGACCCGACTACCAACAACAAGTTCCCTTCGTCGAGTAGCAGAAATTGATGCGGCTCGACAAAACGATCGCCGACAGAAAGGTTGACATACTTTCATTTTTAATGCATTTCAGGACGAGTGCGTTATTGACAGCTTAGATGCTTAGGCGATCTTAAAATTAGTCAAATAGTGATCAGATGAAAATTCGTAAATTCATCTTAGATAAGTGATTTCTTTAAATGTATCTAGATACATTGGATACATTAAATGTATTTAGATACGTTTTAAATATATCTAGATAAAGGATAAAATTATATGACGACTCATCCAGACAACTTCTCTAGGTAGAACTTTCTCTAGATAGAATATTGTTTTTTTAAGACTATTTACATAAAAACAGTTATGTGAAAAGATTGCAAATTGTAAGAAAGGGATATAAAAATATATTCATACTTTTATTTATAAGCTCTTATTACAAGAACGACAGTTTTTCCCATGTGCTATCCAATAGATAATTTCTGCGAGGAACATAATTTTGTTGTTCACTTTGTCACGATAAAAGTAAAGATAATACTTTCTTCCATCTGAGATATATATGAAGATAACATGTATCTTCAGTATCTGAATAAGATGGCACAGAGACTTCATCTAGGTGATTTTCTTTATCATTTCACTTAGATAACAGCAAACACAAAATGGATATCCAATAAGAAAAGCTATCCTCCAAGAATTTCCATTGGACGTCGGCTGCATTTCGAAGTGCACCGAAGAAAAACTGTCAACCTTCCTGATCGGCAATCTTGCAGTCTGTTGCAGAACAGTTTGGACACATCTTTTCTGATAATGTTAAGAGCATTTCAAGTTGTCATAATTCTCCGCAGTTACGTAATCGATTATGGAAAAGATTCGTCTAAAATGTCCCGCAATCGACTATACTTACCTCCATGTGCCGTAATTCTGTTGCCATGTGAACTGCGACGGTGAACGGCGCAGGATGTCTCTTGATGAAAAACACGATGCGAAATATACTCTGGAGAAAATTGCGAATAAGAGACAGTCGAATAGTTTCATGTAACGCGTAGCGTGGAGCGGACTATTTCAGTAACACAGATTTTATTATTTATAAGAAAAATATAAATGTTATCGTTTGCGTAGTTTCCCCGATGAATGTCGATTATGATTACAATAAAGTGTTATTAGTCAGCGCGTTTAGCCCATAAATAATTCAGCGCACGAGGCTCGACATTGCCTGTCAATCGCAGCGTGCGCGATTGTTCCGTTCTCTGCTTTCTCCTCTTTTTCCACCGGATACACGTGCGATTCCTCTTCGACTAGATACGATGCGTATGACCGTGGCACGTGACCGCTATTAGGACTCGTTGCATCATAGTGTGCAACTCTCGTAAAATAAGTATATAATAAAGTGTCAATGATTTGTATATATTGCGTATAACGATTACACTCCTTACTTGAGACCATATAATTCTTTTTGTGTGAATAAAAGTACCTATGGAGAGAATGGAATATCTCGAATTGCTCGGACGGAAGAACATTATTAGTCGGAGTTCGCTAACAACGGCACATGCTCAGCCTTTCGAGGACACATTGATTATTCTAATTGCTGGACGGATTCCTGATAAGCTTTCGTGTCCACATTCGCGGGTTTCGCTCTTAAACTTAAAGTATTTGCGTAAAAGAAATAATGAAAGAGATAGATAGAGAGAGAGAGAGAGAGAAAGAGAGAGAGAGAGAGAGAGAGAGAGAGAGAGAAGATATAGAGTCGTCTTTATGAACGAGCTCGAGGTAAGATTAGGAACGCGAGACAAGACTGACCCAACAGAGGTGATATATTATGACGATGAACTTAATGCGTAATATACAGAGTGTCTGTCTCATGCCTTATATACACGTAGATTAGGTCAAACTAAACAAGAAATTTCTCTAACATCTTGCAAACAAAAGTATGAGATTTTGAGTTATTAATTAAAGAAGACTGGCGAATGATCACGCACGATACGGCAGACAAGCTGTAATAGCGATGGTTTCGCAAATGTCCACGTAAATTTTTGAGTTATTAATTAAAGAATATTGGGATGCATCATCGTGCGCGATTATCCATCAATTTTCTTCATTTAATAACAAAAAATCCACGTGGTATCAGCAAGTGGTTAATAATAGCTTTTTGTCCAATTCGATTCAATGTATAAACATACACACAGGACGGCAGATGTCGCCATAACAGCCAGTCTACTACGTGATTATTTGTCAATCTTCTTTGATTAATAACTCAAAATTTTATTTGTTTGCAAAATGACAAAGGACTTTTATATTTAGTTCAACGAGTTTCCAGGTAGATCACAAAATTATATAAAAGTCCAAATAACGTCAAATGATATAAAAATGAAATTATTTTAATGTCAAACGATACCATTTTCATGACAATTTCATGACAATGATGTCAAGTGGTCTGTTCTTTTTAACTGCACTGCTGAATTGGTGCAATAAGTTAGAATAAGATAAATACATTATTTCTCACTTTAACTTATTACACCAGTTCAGCAGTGCAGCTAAAGAGAACAGACCAAAAATGATATCATCTTGACATCAAAATGATTTTGTCTTCTACCTGGGTTTTACCTGCACACAACGCGTGTGTTGCGAATTGTCAGACACCCTGCACATCTACACTGCGTAACTATTAGAAGCGATAGTGTGCTAAGTACAGATGTGACATAAGAAATATAAAGTTTATATTTCTTCTTTCGAGTTTACCGGTTTTATCAGCAAAAATAATGTAAACGTTTTTGTGAAACTGTCGGAGCCTTTAGAACGTTCCTTCCCAGACAGCACAAATTATCAAAAGACATCCCAAAAACGCGTCCAAAGGAGATAGGACGTCTTCTGAATATCTTTAAGATATCTTTCAGTAGATTGTGCTTTGGTCTGATAAAACAATTTTACACGTAGTTATGTTACGTTCTTTATTTTGTATTTACAATAATTGGCAAATCAGTGTCACTCGCAATTCGCGCACTTATCATTTATAATACTTCGCAACAACTGGATCGCCAAATTAAATTCCAGGCGATGTGTGCGCGCACAACTTTTTTCAGCAGCACCTTTCGCGTGACATCATCGCGTACTGCCCGCAAAACACGACACTAATTGTGCGAAATTATTTCCGTATACTTATATGTCCTCACGAAACCAAAACCGACTCTGAAGGAGTAACAATTTGTTAGTCATGTGTAAATAGCATTAAGTGTTCGCGCAGCTACGCTATCATGAATATTTTTCTCCTTTTTAGTCGATGATCACCATCACTCGGCCATGGTGTTACGCGCTGTGCTACAACTCGCGAGGTTAAAAAACAGAGTATTTTGACTGGTAGAAGATACAGGCGAGGAGTGTCAGTGTACCGGCATAGAGTAGTCGCGTTGTAGATGCGGTCGTCGCGGAATTACATAAATCGGTGTTGCAAATATTGCAGGATTCGATTACGCCATGTCCTGACTGCATTGTAGAGCTGCATGGGCCGTCGTCGATATTGATTTCGTCGTTGTACGGAGTGGAACATTGACGTATCACAATTCGGTCGCCGTATTCTATAAATATTAAACAAGCGGTGCAACTTATTCTTTCTGTTCTTCAACAAAAGCATTGCGTAATTGTCGCGTAATTTACGTAATTATCGCCAAATGTTCGCGATATTTTAATAACGACACGATCTATCTTACTCATGCCCCACAACGCATAATATATGTAAATATTATACGTCTGTTTCTCATACCATAATACCGCGCGTCTCATTTGATAGTGCGACATTGCCGGTTATATAATTTTCCGATTCAAGGACTCTCAGAAATAGTTGCTATGTCACACGCTAAGACTCTTCTCTGGTGAAAAATGATTTCTTATAATGTTCCAAAATTTTTTAAATTTTGAATTTACACAGAATTCTGTAAAAAATGAATTTGCTTAGATAAATTAAGTTATTATAATTAAATCTTAGAATTTATTAAAAATTTTTTAAATTAAATTATTATTATTAAATATATTGTACAAAAATCCAACAAATACTGTGAATTTTACAAATTATTTGTCTTTTGAAATACTTATAAAATACGTTTCTATTTCTATAAAAAATTTCGCAAAAAGATCTTAAAATTTGTCTAAGAAAAATCTAAGAGATTATATATGTATATATGAAAAATCGTAAGAATATTTTTCACCAGAATTCAGTTGACATTCAACGTACTATTTAATTATATAGAATCTTTAAGTTTACCGGAACATTGCGCAATATTTGCAAATTTGCAAAACTCAATTCATATCTTTTGTGATTAGACTAGCGCCACGTGCCGAGAAAGTAATGATCATTTATTTACTGCAAAGTGCTTTCTTTCGTAACGTTACTATAAACTGCGCCGGTCACGCCATCAACGTATTACACTGAACGAAATCAACGAAGTTTGCAGTAAAGCAATCAACCTTTCTTAACATCCAATTACCGTCATTTTACATCAACCTTTCTTAACTTCCAATTACCGTCATTTACATACACGCGATATGACTCAAGAGCGGAACCGTGTGTATTATCGTGTACATTTAAGACAGAGAGGATAAAACGCATTAAAAGTGCGATTTAAGCTCCGTAATGCGTCATTCTCTAGATGAAGAAATGAGCTGCGCACCAACCTGAAGATGTTGGATATTCACGGTATGTCACACTCGCGCGGCAGAATTTTTCCATCGTTACGAGAGTGTTTCTTCGCCGCGTGTATTTTTATATGTACGCGACACGTAATGCGCGTGTAATACACAGAAGAATTTTACCTCTTTTGACAATCTTGCGGCAAATCGGTTTGGCGGAGCCGTAATGGCCTGGTTCGCATGTTCTTACGTGGAATGCAGCTTGATGGTCCGTGGTATTCATTGGATCAGCACACATGGCATTTACATTAGACGAGCAATCCCAGCATCGTAAGGCAGATCCTTGAGAAATGCAGGAAATTCTATCATGGATACTTTCTTTATTACTGCTGTTACAAAGCTGCGCATTCTCACAGATTATCGTCTCAATGTATGTTAGAAATTAATTAATCAAAATTTTATTTGACTAAAATAACAGGCAAATCAATAATCAAAATTAATCAACCGTTTCATTATATAATCACAAATTATTTAATCGATTGATAAACTCAATTATTAATCAGTTTAATTATTATCAGATAATTTATTAATCAATTAATTACTATTAGATTTGATAATAAATCTAACATCAAAATTTGATTAATAATTAATTTCAACAATTGATTAAGTTACCTTCGACTGCATATAAGACGATTAATTATCTTTAATTATCGATTTGCCGATTATTCTAGTCAATTAAAATTTAAATCAACTAATATCCAACATTGATTGTCATATATTTGTAAATATGTACGTGAGAAGCTATTAGATACATCGCATATATATGGAACATATTTCCAACAATTACACTGAAAAATATATCTTAGCATTAATTGATTAGTCAACAGCATCATAATCGGAGAGTGAATCATTTTGATTTAATCGTATTATTGAAACTAATGCATTATGCACTGTTTTGCTAACTCGAGTATTGGTCTCAATAATGTTGTTATTGAATCAAGTAGGTTTACTCCAATTACGGCACTGTTGATCAATTTTGGATTCAGACAACATAAATGTCCAAAAAAAGATTTTAAAATACTTTTCAAAGTACCTTATTTGAATTTTTTTTATAATTTTGGTGAAAACTTTTGCAGTTTTATTAAAATCATATACAATCCCGTAAAGATGTCAAAACAAACGGAATATCTTTCAGACGCCTTGAAAGTGTCTTTTAGACATTTATGTCGTATGGCCTTGGATATAACAACACTCTTTTCCGTGTGTATGGATTTTCTTCTATGCGGAAATATCGCTCGAATTATGCGCGAAATATATCCGCGAATAAAAATCAAAGTCACGTAAGATACTTGCGCAATACTATGATGAAAAACGCAGGTGCGGTTTATGATTTAAAAGTGATGTAACGCTGAGTAACCATCCATATTAGTAGCGCACGCTCATTCTCGTGTACACCATCGAACTGTTGTCATTATAAAAACGCAGTGAGGTGTGACGCACCTTGTAACTCAACAGGAAGCATTACAAAGTCAGAAGAAAAACGTTTCAAACGACAAAAACAACGCACTCAGAGTAAATATTTATTGTTTTGTTCTCCAACTATACTTCTCCAAAGAGTGTAAAATACTTTTTTATGAAAAGCTATAAAATAGCATAACTTCATATGTCAAGGACATTACTCCACTTTGTGCGCAATATTACAAGCCTAGCCATACGGCATAAATGTTTGAAAGACATCTTGTTCCCGCTTCTACACTGAGAGAAATTATTCGATAAGAAATTATCAAACGGATATTTCCGATCAAAATACCGAGGAATTTTTGTATCCGATCAGAAAGCATTCAATAAGAAATATCGATTCATAATTTTTTTATCGGTTTATCTGACGAAATGCCATGATCAGAAGTATTTGATTAAATTTAATCGGGTCAAGTATAAAAATTCGGTATTTTATAACTATTTGTTAATTTTTTATCAGATAATTTCTCTCAGTGTACCAACTTTGGTTAACTTAATTGGCTTATTCCAACGAGATTGGCCAACAGTGATAACACATTCATCAATTCTGACTAAAGAGAAATGCGATTAATCAATTCCATTGGAATAACCAGCCGGTTAAGTTATCCAAAGTTAGTACACAAGTCCCAGTAAGCAAGGAACATTAAATTAACGTTTAGAAACGTTGACTTCATGTGCATTGTTTGGACATTTTTTTAGTAATATTGCATTTATATTTTTCACATGTTATTTTATGATGATTTTTCTGAATGTTGTTTAAACGTTTTAAAAACATTACAAAAAATATATTTTTCAAATGTTACTTTAACATTTATTTCAGATCAATGCAACATCTTAAAAATATTTTTGCCGATTAAAACGTTATAACAACCCTATTTCGACATAACTGAAACTTCCAAATCGCGGTCAAAGTATGTTCGTAATGATGTTTGATACAATATTAAACACTACATATTTGACAATATTACAGGGTCTTCAATATCATTGTAGCAACGTTGTATTAATGATTACTTGCTTACTGTATTATCTAGTAAACAAAAAATCATTGATAGAACGTTATTGTAACGATATTTAGTAATATATAACGTTTTCTAATATATAGTTTTTAACGTTGTATCAACGTTATTACAAATAATTACGACACTTTAATATTTCTAAAACATTTTTGCAATGTCCAAAAAGATCGTATTATCCGGTATTATCTTTGAAATGTTTTAAAAATATTAAACTGAGAGAGAGAGAGAGAGAGAGAAATGCTCAAGAGATACGCGTAAAATCAATATTTCAAGATATTGATCTAATGTTTTTTATTTACTACGTAGAGATGTTTAAAAAACCTCCTCCTTACGTTATTGTCTTTGGAATGTCTCTAAGATTTATTTTAGACATTTATACCGTCTAGATAACCCAGTTGGAACAAAAAATTACGATGACATCAAAACGATGTTGAAGTTAAGATAAAACGTCTAAAAACTCACTTTTTTCAATCACAATTCGAATATTTTCTCGTCATTTTGATGTCATTGTAATTTTCTATTCTACTTTGGAATATTTCCAGTTGCAACATATTTTAGAGAGATTGTAATGCAAAACAAAGTAAAACATAATATAATAATGAAGCATTTTAGAATCATTCTCAATGTAAAATAAATACTGTGAGGAATCGTGCTGCAATTATCAGAAAGTTGATAAAGTATCATGAAATAACGGAAAAAGCAATTTATCTATCACGAAGCTATCTACTTTCCTGGCGTGATCTATAAACTGAATAATAGAATATAAAATGGTATAAAAATATAAAAATATGAAAGAAAAATATGAAAAATGTGAAAGACTAAAATATTAAAATTGTCAGGACACTGAGACATACCTGGTTTTAATAGCGCTAGTGACTAAAGAAGTTTAAATTTTTGTAACAAGTTGGTAAACAGAGAAACTATATATAGAGTTTATACACGAAGAAAATATGATTAGCGCTGTGAGAATCTTTAATATCAATGTGCAAAAAAAAATACACGTTATAGTAGTTTTGTTGAAACAAACGAGAATTTAGAGTATTGTATCTTTGGAAAATTTTTGTTTCGCAGCACAAAAATATAATTTTTCAAACGTTGCTTTTTTAATGCTTGATTTACTCCATCTTAAAGCTGTTAATCTCACCTGATGCTACAAGAAGGACTACACCGACAATTATTGCCACTGCGCGTTCACTGTAAACCATCCTGGATACTGAGTAAAGTCGTTAAAAATTATTAAAACTAATTGCACTATGCAAAAAATAACAAAGTTCGTCTCGACAGTTACGTTTTCAAAACTAATAATGTCCGACAATTACGTTATATCGAATAATCTACAAAACCGTTTGAAAACTGCGATGTCGATCGTGTCCAGTGTGATACTGAGGAACCAACACCCTCTTTACTAAAAGCACTCTTCTCTCTCTCTCTTTCCCCCTCTCCTCTTGTTTGTTACATATCGTTTCTTCTCCGTTTAGCGAGTGCACATGAATTTCACATACATGGTATGCACGCTCCTTATCAACTTTTACGAACTTTAGATATATAGTGAAGCGGCAAAAATTATTAGATCATATTGTTTTTGTGCTTATCTTAACGTTGAAAGGTCAATCCCGCAGACATTTCCAGTGAATATCATCGAAACTGTGAGATGTATAAAAAAATAGTTCGTACAAAAGTTCTATTTATTTGTCAAGATGTGTATTCTGTACTTTTTACAATAATTTATTCAGACCTTCCGGAAATAACTTACATCCCTTTCCTCCTATTATTTCTGCGAATTTCAAAAGTCTTATACGGATGAAAATAATTCAAGAAAATTTTGCGTCGCGTTCCAGCATATATCTAACAAAAATTTCTGAAATCGCATTTTGCACAAATGCAGCATAAGCATTGCGCTTTTGCGCCGCACTACTACTAATGCTATATAATGGGCAGGTTACGTCTAGCCTCGTTTTTACACGTCTAATCTGACTGGGCGTTACTCATTATATTCGATATAAGGGGAATTGACGATAACAAATCTTAAATTATGTGGATTTTAATTCTATATTAAATGATTATGTTATATTGCATACACATAATTGTGTGTGATTTCTTATATATCACAAAAATTTCAAAAAGATTTCAGAAAGATCTCAGAAAGGTTTCAATGTTTCTGAAACCTTTCTGAAAGCTTTTTGAAACTTCTGTGCTGTATGGTTTTTTTCGACCAAATATCTTCCCACGTAATACAACGTCTAAAATTAGGACATAAGACGTCTTAGAGACGTCTTAGAGACGTCTTATGTCCCGATTTTATTAGACGTTGTGCCCAGTAAACACCAACAGTAACATTACATCAATGTTATAATTTTTTACTCAATAACCTAACTGTTACACTCGCATTATATTGCATTTATATTATCGAATAGGAAATCACAATAAAAGTTAATATATTCTGAGACTCTCAAGTGAACGATTGAATAAACTTGTAAAAAGCAACCTATAATTATTACAACATTGATATTATGTTGCTGCCCTTAGAAAAAATTACTTTAAGATATTCAAATTAACTTAAAGTTGCTTAAAGTTACTTAAAGTTATTTATAGTTATATAAATAATTTTAAGTAACTTTAAGTCAATTTGAACAACTTAAAGTAATTTTTCCTAAGGGTAATAGTTGATGTTTATAATGAGAAGTTACAAGATCAAAGAATATTAAAGTTTGAATGAAACCTTACTCGATTTATTGCTTGATATTGTTTAAATAATAGAACGATATGTGGGATGTTTAACATTGTAAAATGAGGCTTGCTGTCTTGTTAAGGAAGTCTCGTTAAAGGTCAGGGAAGCACTTAACCCTACATTACCAACTTGACTCTGGCATTTGACCCGATCTTCTTAGTAATAGCTTCCGCGCGAATATATACATTCATAAGATGTACATGTGCGTGTATTACACACAAAATGTAGCTTATTGTTAGCGTTGCCAAAGAGGACGTTGCGTAGCTTGTTTAGCGACTGGCCGCTCACGTACGAACTTGTTTAATTTCTGACAACTAGCTCTTCCGGTCAAATACGTCGAAATATTCAAACTCAAACCAGAGGAAAGATCAAAGATGGAAAAGTTTATACATAATAATCAAAGTTTATACATAATAATCGAATGATAAAACGCGGAATGTCGACAAGCGGAAACTGACTCATAGAGCAGAAGTGTCTAAACGGCATCTTAGAGACGTCTGAAAGATATCCCATTCGCTTTTAGACGTCTTTGGGATGTCTCTAAGATGTTTCTTATACATTTATGCTGCCTGGGGATAAACGTTGGGGGTATGTGCAAAGGATACAGAGGAAAATAAAATTTACTTCGCTATGTCAACGATATTATCATTGCAGACGATCATTTCAAAAAGGATGAGATGTTAACTCTAAAATATCCTAAATATCATCTTCTTTTGCTCATAAATCGCAAAAAAAAATTATCGAAATTTAATATTTTTTTGTTAATCAGGAGAGAAATCGTCGAGGAATATAGTTCTAATATCACTGCGATTTAAAGATGAAAAAAGTTGTAATAAAAAAAGGAACAGAAGAAATTTAAACGTACTCTCTAAAGTACGATCAGTAAAATGTTATATTTATAACTGCTGCTAGCTCAGTTATAAGTATAACACTGCAATCAGTAAAGTCTTGCTGAAAAGATCAGTTAATAGTAGATACCACTGTTCCAATTATTAATACAATTTGCCAACACAGATGATGTCATCACACGCAAGGCGCGTAGAAGTCGTGAATTCCATCGTTATAATCGTAGAAAGTTGGATTTTCTATGTACAACAAACTCGTATATCATATATTTCGCGGAGAAATCTTATTTCCACTAATAAAAATCAGAAATGAGAAATTAGACGGAGCAATAAAACAGGTGTTTTCACTGAAAATCAGTGAATAATCACTGATCATCGGTGAAATAATCCTTTATCTGACTCAATCAGAAACATTTTTACTCATTCATCTTAAGAGAGCACGATGGGGTTTTTTAATTCATTCGATTAAGGCTCGGTTGTACAAACGGAGTGGTGGCCTAAGTAGAACAGAAAATCATGATGACGTCACAATAACAAGAAAATGATCTAATCGTAATTGAAAAGTGAGATTTTCATTATTTTGTATCATCATGACTTTTTGTTCTGTCCGCCCTTGGACGGACATTTTATTTTCAAATAGTACGACTCAACGATGGATATCAGATGGATAATATCATATTTATTATTTTTTTCTGCAGTGCCCTTTATAAGTCTTTCTTTATTAATCAATGGCAAATATTGCGTGATTCGTTTTTTTTTACTTGCTTGCACTCTCACATACATCATCACGATTAACATGCGCTAAGGAGAAAAGAACAGCGTACCTCCATAAAACTATAACATTGGCAAGAACGATTATCTTTGCAATTACGTTTCACAGTATATAGTACGGAGTAAAATAAATTAGTTAATTCGTATTCGTTATATAATCTCATAAACGTAAATATTCGTAGGTGTTATAGTAATAAATTATTGTTAAATTATTTGTCGATTCTCAGAATCGATAACTAGTACCTAGACACATTCCAATTAGCACGCCATTCACAGCGAAAATTAGATTATTCAAACGGACAAATATGTATATTGTAGTGTGAGAAACTATCTGATCAGCATTTTCACTGTTCCAACTGCACACGTCCCAACAATTGTTTCTCTTTGTCTCTCTCAATGTCAAGAATCACTTTTGTCAATATCGGCATTGCTTTAAATTAACGATAATCACTGGTTTCTTTCGAGGAACAGAAGCGAAAAATTAAAAAAGTAGAAGTAAAACTAAAATAGCTATAAATATGAGATAATTCATATAGGACACGATAGTGGTTTTAACTAGATGTACACATCGTGATGTTGAAAAAGGGATATGTTCCTGATACTTTATATCCAAAGCTTGAATCATACCCTAAGTATGTTTCAGTACGCGTACGTGCTTTCGGGAGTGATTCTATATGATCCGCTTGGAACTTATATATGTACATACATCTCAATTGTTATACCGCCCATTCGAATACTAATGTCTCAAGCATGTACATTATAATACGCTTTTAGAGCAGTAATCACGAATCGTTTGTATATGTCGGCGCATATTAATGCTCACAATTCGCGGATATCCGAACGGAGATTATTTAACAGAGAGAAAGAGGCAACTTACTATATATTTTTTTTTTTCAATTTCAAAAAAATTACGCTAACTACACGGCGGATATTAAATAGCGTCGATACAATGTGACATACACACTCACAGCATTTAATAAAAAATAACATTATCTTTTTGTATCATGAGGGACTAATGTTCCAGTAAAGATCCGCTTCCCACGACATCGCTTCCGGCATGTAAGGGCCGCGCCCGTATTGTTTCACGAAGCAACTTGGGAAGAAATGTATTCTTTTCAGGCGATATACCCTGCAAGAATTTCGGATTTAGATAAATTACAGAGAGGAGCGATGATCACTTACCAGTTAATTCGAACGTTACATCTGACACAACGTTCATCCCGTTACGAGCATTTTTTTCTTTCTTTCTTTTTTTTTTTTAATGAGCATTCGTCGTACTTTTTAACTCCGCGTCGCGAAAATCTTTAGGCCGAATAAGCGCTAAACGAGGAAATTTTGAGCGAACATATCTCCTTTTCTCTTCTTCTCACACGACATTGCGAGACAATCATATCTACATGCCGAAACATTAAAAAATATTATGCTGTGATCTTAAAAAACTACAGCCAACGCAACAACAACATCCTATACGCAAACACACCGTGTAAGAATTGGCTTTTTCTTCGCTTCTTAAGATTACGCACACCACTGATAAAAATCATCATATTTCTCCGCGTAAGGCGAGCGAACCCATCGAGTACGGTGTAAAAAGTTTGTCAACGCTTATATGGCACAATTAGAGTATATGCGAATGCTCAATGGAAACGACCGTTGCGCGAGTCCGAAAAAATATATACAACGCTGACGTGATATCTCTACTTTCGTAACGCTTCGATTATCTATCCTCCGCAAATCGATCTAGGATCGGTAATGGTGCGCGAGATATATTTGTTTATATTGCTTATCGCGTTCATTCCCACGCAATGATTTATCGAGACTCGCCTAAATAGTGATAGGGTAGCAATTTACCCCTGCCATTACAAAGATATCCCTATTACCAACTTGTCACTTCGAGCTCCCTCATGCTACCTGTTCGTAGTCCTTTCGCTAACACAGAACATCTCTTGTTTACAAAAGAAATATTATGTCTCTTCTTCCTCTTTACTACTAATCGAAAAGTGTCTCGTATAACTCCAATATAAAGTGCTCACTCCACAGAGCGTATCATTTCGTCTATTTGCATGCGACTGTATTAATCGTACAACATTCCACTCAAAGCACACGGCGAAACAGTTATTATACCTTAACAATAAACATTGTGCTCGATATACTTTACAAAAAAATCTTGCACATCGTTCTATATTTAATATTTGCCTCGATATCTGCCGATTGAATTTCCTGTCTCTTCTTCATCTCGTTGCAAATAGTCAGCCGGCAAGTTTATATTGAAAGCAAAACATGGAATATCGCGCTTGGTGAATCAATCTATAATATATATTAAAAAAACGGGACCCTAAAAATGATTCACTCGTAAATCATAAAACGACACATCTGACTTTCCACCGTCTAATTTTGTCGACTCTTTGGCAACTCCACAGCAAAAACGGTCATGCCTGTAAAATGTAAAGATGCATGTCTATATGTCATGTCATGATCTCTCATAAAAGAGACTACCGCGGAAAATGTAAAATAAAAATTAATATTAATATTAGACTGTCCACAAATATATTCGGTTTCTTCTTGATATTTTAGAAGACTCACTCGAAGTAAGTTCATGAAAGTGGATACAACGGTTCGTGAACTTGCAAAAGAACTGAATGCAAGCATATCGACTGTTGTCGATCACTTGAGCGTGATTGGAGAAAAAAAGATCGAACCAGGAAAGCTAACGTTACGAAGTCTGCACTAGATTGATTTTAAGGAAATAAAATGATCCATTTCTTAAACGGATGATGACGTAAAATGAGAAGTGGATTCTTTACGACAGAATGGGAAGTGTTCTGCGCGACTTGACCCCGATGAGACATTAGATCAGTTCCCAGAGATAAAGTTGCTGGTGAAAAAAAAACGATGACTGTTTAGTAGACTGTAACCAATTAGTGTAGTATTAGCCACTGTAATTTATTGAGTTCAGGTAAGAAAATCACCTCACAGAAGGTGATTACTACCAGGAACTGGACAGAATACACAAGAAGTTCCACAAGAAATAATCAGGTTGGTCAATCGGAAGGCTTCTATCATTCTGCATAACAATGCCAGTCCGCACGTGTCTCTCTGGTAACTCTTTAAAGATTGCGTGAGCGAAAGTTTCTACAGCAAGTGCTACATCTTAAATTTCATATTTATATTTTATTATTTGTGTATATTATATTGTATATTTATATACATATTTATTAGATTAATGTTAATACTTTATGTTATTTTAATGTTATTTTATGTTATTACTTTACTATATTTTACTTTCAAGTTTTATTTCTGCAGTAATAGTACAAATAGGCTAGGTAATTGTTGGAAAATGTATTACATCTAATGACGCTTATTTTGTGCGTGATTAAAGATCATATTAAATTATATTTATATGAAAGTTATAGAGGCTAAAAACCAAAATTTATTTGTGGACAATTTAACAAATGAGTGAGTGAAATAAATACTTAAAATCAATTTACCTTTAAAACAGCGTCGGAAAATCGTGATAGACATAATCAACTCCTCATTGCACAACGCAATTTTTGTTTCGTTGAGCTAACCCGGCGCGAGATAAGTCGCGTTCTATCTCGTCATCGTCCTCGATGCTAAACATTGTTGGAAGCAAAAGCTGAATGTTTATCACTTTTTTGAGAAACAGCGATTGTAATATGTATCTGTTATACTCACGCTCTCTCTTGCGTATCAAGATGATGTACTAATTCATCCCTTTTATTCACAATGGACACTAATTCTTCCAACAACAAATTCTCACGCATCTTTTGCTCGGACGTCTTACGCCATTCTTCTACCGCGAGAATGCTTCTTAATTCGCGATTTAAAAGTTCGAATCGTCGTTCAAGATCATCTTCTTTTTCCCTAGAAAGTACACGACTCTTATTCACTAAACTGTGATTATTGTGATCGGTTATGCGATTTTTAAACAAAAATTAGTAAAAATATTAATGCCTGGTCAAATTCCTCTACTCTAGAATTTTAAGAATACTCCTTAAAAATCAACTAAATGTTGTAACTGTCAAGTGTTCCCAACCATCAAGAGATTGACAGATTTACTTTTGTCCTAAACAAAAAAAAAAGAACAGTGAGACACTTACAATATATTCAGTTGCATTTGTCTTCTCAGAAGTGCATTCTTTTTATTAACGAGAGTAAACCACAGGGACATCAGTCTTTCCGTTTCGTCCTCGTTATCACTTTCCATGGCCGCTCTGAGTTGCTTCTCCAGCTTACCAGCCTGTATATCTATCTGATTCTGTTCCCTTTCGAGCGCCTCGAGCTCGTTTTGGATATACGATGTCATGTCTTTACCCAGCTGGTTTCCGAGTTATCATTAAGCAAGAACAAAAATAAATAAATCCTCATTAGATAATCGGTAAAATACTATTGGTAAGTAATAATCTCGCGCATTGACGTACCCCGCGGAGTGTATATGGTGTTCTGTCGGGGCTTCCTTTATCGGGCGAGATCCTCTCGATGATTTTGGAGAAAGAATATAAAGGTGAACCAGTTTTCTTATCTCCATCTATCACACTCGCGTTCCCTAGTATATTCCCATTGTACTCGGACTAAAAATGATAATCGGTCGCCATTCAGTACTGCGTCACAATTGATTGAGGAGGTCGCATCTTATTGGCGAGAGGTCACAAAGACAATATCGCGACAATATAACATACAAACCTTTATACTGAGTCTGTCTCCAGGTGTCGAAGGCGTTATGCTACGTCTAGGACTGTTATTCTGATCATCTATCGATCGTCTATCGCTGCTGCTATTGTCGTCATTGATCTGGCTCGGGGTCACACCCATTTTTACTTCCGCGATCAAGCGTCTCGCTCTTTCCCGCAACTGTTGTTGCCTCTCGTCGTCATTTTGTGCCTGAAACGCGTTACACGCATGATAGAAATCTAGGCTGTCTAGGCTCAACGTGGAACGAATATTCGTCGGCAACGACGACTTTCTAGTGCTACGTAAATGAAAATATAGAACCTCGATGGGACTGATCGCAGTGGAAACGAACCCGGCTGGCTTCGTCTGGCTTCTGGCTTGCTCCAGCAGTTGTCTGGCTCGCTCTCGCAATTCGTCGTGCCGGCTGACTAACGGCTAACGCAAACGGAAAACAAAGATGTAGATACTTGGATATGATACTAATTATATCGATATCTCGGAAGCAGACAAACCACAGTATCATTCTGTATTTTGATTGCATTAATTTGACATGTTGCCACCGAGATATACATCAATATTGCAATACTAAAAAGAGAATCTTGTTAATTACGTGTTGTGAACGTTGTTCCCCGTACGGCGGCGATGCACCTTGACATTCGAAACTACCACGACTTCCTCTATCGCCAGAATTTACGGAGTCCTACAAAAGAAAGTTCTTAACGTGTGTCTCGTGTGTCGTTGTGTCGTGTTCAAGTGTTATCGTTGCGAAGCTTTTCCACGGATATAACGTTCAAACCAAGAACCTTCTCATATTGAGTAAAAGAGCAAACAAACGTTAAACTGAAGCGACAACGTACTGAATTATGTAAAAGAGAAAATTGCGTGAAACTCTCGACCTATATTTACTCGCATATCTTAATTATAGCGTCGATAAATAAAATTCTCGCGTTACTTTCTAGAGGCATGATATTAAAGGAACAAGTTCAACACGTTCGTTACATGTGCAACGCACCGATCTCTCACTTCAAGCTCAGCTTTACTCAAAATGTTCAATTCTACTTAACACGTTCGCTACCAGCGTCACATGTATGTGCAATCATTTATTTCTTTCTATCTTCACAAAGTTTGTTTAACAAAATTTTTATAATAGATTTTTATAATAGAAAATATACAAGAGATGGTCTAAGTGGGAAAAATTCACTAAATAAGCTGTGGTGGCGAGTGTGTTAAGGTAAAAGTATCAATTGCCGGACATGTACTTAATCCTGAACATTATTATCTTAATATTTAAATACGAATATTTAAACTTTAAACATAGAATATATCTATATATTTAATTACATTATACATTTGTACATATATTTTATGTTGAAAGTTTAAATATTTATATTTTAAGACGAATGTCCGGGCATTGGTGCTTTTACCTTAATATCCGCAGGAAAAGGAAACTAACTTCATTAATGATTTATGAGCTCTCTCGTATGTCACTGCTCCAAGCTTTGTCATAGAGTGCTTTGTAAGGTTTGCATTTTCCAGAGATGTCTTTTTACGAGACCTCAATTCTCAATGCAAAGCATTCAGTAGTGATTTAAAAATCATTGTTAATATATAATTTATATTAGGAAAATAAATAAATAAATATGTAAGAGATCGCGAGCACACCCATGTTATTACGGTGAATTTTACACAAGTGCATCTTACGAAACGCTACCATCAAAATCTACATTCCGTGCATCGCGGGACACATCACGCACGATTCTCTCATGCATATTTACATGCAGCTTCACACACGTGTCTCATATAGGCGTACGATTCTTCGTCGGCAAAAAGCGCAGGTTACAAAACCGTTCGCCAATAATAGATAAAAAGTAAGAGAAAAAGGAAAACAAAAGGAGTTAAGTCCTGGAAATAACGCACTTCACTACGTATCGCCGGTGAAGAGAAGTAAATGGTAGATGTAGTGGTGCGCGTTATGGGTTTATTGTTAATGCAGCGAGATATATAAAAGAAGGAATGCATAAAAAGCGATAATCTGCGCAATCTCGTATTTACTGATGTCACGGACCGGGCTTTGCGATTTGGTAATCGAGATCGATTGCGAGCATTTCTCGTCGATTATCTGTATGTTCTCCTCTTCGTCGTCGGAGCCGAACGGATCGGTTAATTGCCGGCGGGTCATAAGTATCGGACGTTGCTGCGCTTGTTGCACTCTCGGCGGAGACTTGCTCTGCAGTAAATTGGCATCATTTCCTCACAACGAACGATCAAGTTGTACGCGAGTGCCGTCGGAGCGTGTACTACGCGATACCTCGCTAGGCGTCGGGGAGTAATCGCAAATCACGTCGAAATTAGATTCGTGCGTGATAATCTGCGCCCTCCGCTTACCTTCTCTCTCGACGAGTACTTCTCCTTGGTCGGTGACAACACCTTGCCCAAAATGCTCTTCGAGCTGGCCAATATGATGTCCTTGACTTCCTTCACGCTGGACGGCGATTTGTCTTTGTTACACTGATCGTGATCCTGATTATCCGTGGTCAGACTTAAGTGCAGCTTGTTTTTCAGCGAGTCAATGCACATGTCGTCCTTCTTATTGTCAAATGGATTCGACCTGCAACGAAATATGATCACTCAGATCTGTGAGTCTTACTCGTTCGGCTGATTTTGTACCGGTACGCGCAACTTCAGATTGTATTAAGTTCATACAAAAGCTTCGTCGTATTTGTCAAGTAAAATTGCTGGAGCGGAGATTATTCAATTTCGAAGAATTAATAACGAGTAAAATGAACATCAATTTGGTATTTGTTTATGTACCAAACATGAGAACTTCCTATTTTTCTTCTGATATATAAATCTCCTACGAGAACTCGATAGAAAAATGATAAATCTTATGCATTAAAATAACATCTACTCACCGTCGGTTACTGTCCGTCTTATTGTTCTTCTGCTCGATCTGTTCCTTCTTCCGCAAATTAATAATTTCTTGACCGAAAAGCTGAACGCTCACGTCTGTATTGTTGTCCGTGTTAAATCTACCGATCATGTAAGACGACTCGTTCGTCGTTTTGCCGATTTGGTGTACCTACAGCGATCGATTCAAAGCGGTAATTTAAACATGGGGCGCAGAACACGAAAAGAGAAGAAGAGAAAAACGAAAAAAAACGACAGTGATCTTTCACACAAGCTCGTTGTGTTATAAAATTTGTCGAGGTACCTCCAATTCGTGGCCAGTAAAATGCGCTCTCAACTGATACAAATACGTCATCACAGCTAATTTATCAGGTACAGTTAATATGTCCATGTCCGCCGGTTCTATAACTCTCGGTATGCCCAAAGCTTCGCCTGCATCAAAAGCCTTCTTGCAGTTACCCTTCACATCGTGCGGCAACAATGAGTCGATGTCTCTGTAAATTGTCATGTTGAACAGCGCCCAATTAGATCGAGGAAGCCGCGAAGCTGTTAACTTGGTCGTCAAGTAACATAGATGCGCGAAGAAATATCTCTAGTATCAAAAATAATCCTCAAAATGTTGGCACGAGACAGTCGACGCAGAACAATGACGATTTCGGAGTGTTTATTAATGGAACACACAAATAATATAGCTGGCAAGCCGCCAAGCCGACTGTCTATTGATATTTTTTTTTCCCGAGGAAAAGATAAGACTCAAAGAGACGATATGTTTAACGATCAAGAGAAAAAAAAGAGACAGATGCCGAGAAGATGGAGAAAATAGATTAATTCCGGGACAGAAATACTCACATCAGATCAGATCTGAAATGATGAATGATCGCGCAGAACGCCATTCCGTTTCGCCAAGATGTCGTCAAATTGGTGACTTTGACGCCCGGGTAGTCTTTAGTGACTTCCTTACACCATTCCAACAAGTCTTGGCCAGGAGTGTTCTCCTTCAGTCTCGGCACATTCCCGTCATTCTTTTTAAGATCCAACGGCTGCAGTGGTAGTCTCAATGTATTATGCTCGATGTTTTTGCTATGAAAAATCGTGTTACTTTTAAAATTGCTCTTCTACGATATTATATATTATATGTTATTATCGTGTGATACACGTACTTTACACGATAAAACAACACATACTCGTTTTCAACTGCAACACTGTCTTTGATAGGTGACTTCTCTCGTAAAGGATCTCCAATTCCCGTCAGACTAATGTCGCGTATAAAGTGCTCCCCATCATTTACAGGAGTTGTGTCATCCTTCGACAAACTCGCCACTGTTACAAATGATAATTATTATAGTCAATAAGTATAATTTCACAAATCATAAATAAATAATTGATATAAAATCTTAAAACGCAATGTGATCTATAGAATCATTTTTTTTACATTCAGATATATATATATATATATATATATATATATATATATATATATAT